GAGGTCCGCATCTGTGAAGAAGATGGGTTCTCCCCTCGGCTTCTTAGTTGGGGGCACGTGGTTGACCTCCCCAACGTAAAGGGATTGAGCCCACTTCTTTCGCTGACTGGTGGAGTCTCCACCAGTGTTTCCACCATTAATCATGTGGATATGGCGCTTGTATTGTTGATGGGAGCCCTCTCCCTCGTCGTCGAGGCCCCCAATTTCACGCTTCTTCCCCTGCGGGTTTCCCAAGGGGATGGTGTTGGGGTTCACCCACTTGTTTGCCTTCGGCGGAGGCCCTTGATGATGAGGGGGGCCCTGGGGAGGAGGGCCCCTGATAAACTGAGACAAGTGGCCCGCCTGTATCAGCCTCTCAATGGCGGTTTTTAGTTGATGGCAGTCGTCGGTTTTGTGTCCATGGTGGCGGTGGAAGCGGCAATAGGGCTCATCAGGGCCGATGGTATAAATCTCGAGGGGTGTACGGGAGTCTCGCTCCACGAGCCCTCGCTCCTCTGCGTGATCCAAAATGACGCTGACGGGATGCGTCAGGGGAGTGTGTGGGTGCTCAAGGAGGACGGGTTGCGCCCATGCCTTCGGATTGTTCTTGTAACCGCCCCCGGGTCTGGCTTGGCCACCTCGGGAGCGATCGTTGTACTGTGCCTCCCGGTTGGCCGGAGGAGGAGGCCCTCCGGGCCGATTCCCGCCTTCATTCTTTTGAGAAGGATCCGCGTTGCGGCGGTCTTTTTCGATTTCTTCTGCCTCGGCGTATCGGTCCCCCCGCTGAAGGGCTTTTGTATAATCGCGGGGGGGATCAGTAATGAGGCTCCTGGAGAAATTGCCGTTGCGGAGGACGGTGTGGAAGAGGGCCATCAAGGTTCTGTCATCAGCGCCCTCGACCTCGAGGGAAGCTTGCCTCCAGCGTTCCAGGAAACTCCGAAGGGTTTCCTCCTTCTGTTCTCTCACATTCAGAAGGTGGGAGAAGTGTTTCTTTGATCAATGCCTCCCAGCAAATTGCGTGAGGAAGCGGTGGGCAAGTTCTTGCCAGGAATCGATGCTGCCCTCGGGCAACCGGTTGAACCACTCATACGCGGGTCCCTCCAAGGTGGAAAGGAACCAATGACATAAGTATTCATCTGAGGCCCCCATCATCATCATGCTATTTTGATAGCGGCTATAGTGTTCTTGGGGATCTGTCTTCCCCTCATACGGCTTGATAGGTTACCCACGGTACTTATGGGGGATCTTGGCCGCCAGCACCCTTGGGGTGAAAGGCGTCCTGGTGCGGAGCTGGATGAGGGGCTCGCCTGAGCCTTCGGCGACTTTACGCTTCATTTCCTCCACTTGCGCCCGGAGGTCAGCGTACTCTGGATCTGGCCTCGCTGGGGGAGCCGTCGGGGGTGCCTGACGATTCTCCTCGAGTTGACGGAGGAGGGCTTCAATGATTTCGTCCTTGGGATCCTTCGGGGCAACCCCTTGGGAGTTGACCCGGAAGGATTGCGCCTGTGTGATCTGGTGCCCGGCATCATCGGCGTGGAGGGGAGCTTTTCCCTTGCTCTGGGGTGGAGGCATGCCCTCGGCACCCAAAGCGGAGGCTCCACTTTCCTGGGGCCTGCTGAGCACCTGTTTCCCGAGGCGGTCTCGGTTCCCGGGAGCTCCCCCCAACCTCTCAAGTGCAGAGGTCCGGGGTTTCTCCTTCATCATGGGGCGCTTATCCCTAGATTGAGCCTCTTGGGAGGCAGTATCCTGCGCCATGACCCCCTCGGCGTTGCCAATCCCCGGGAGAGGATTGTTGAACAAAGGGGGGGGGGGGTGGTGGTAGTTGGATAACATTTCCTCCAGCACAGGGCTGAAGGGGTGCTTGAGAGGCGAGGGCTCCAGAATTGAGAGCCATGTTTTGGACAAAGGCCGCAAAGGCAGCTTGAAGATCGATGGCCGGGGCCGGAGGGGGAACTTGGTTCTCACTCCGATCCCTCCTTCGATTATCAAGGCCAATGCGGGCATCAGGGGCATTCTTCTGTAGTTGCTGACGGAGGTCAGCAGTAGCCTGCTCCAATTCGAGGATGATTCCACCCTCGGGTACTAAGAGCCTGTTGGAGGCCTCAGCCCCGTTTGTTTCGCCGGGGGCTACGTGGTTCTCCTCAAGGGTTTTGGATTGGGCGCGGGTTGTTCTTCCCATTTTTGGTAGGTGTTTTGAGTTTGGTAGAGGGGGAGGGTTTCTTACTTGATTGTTCTGACCTCTCAACGAGAGAACCAAATGATGGACAGTCTACCCGGGGGGTATCTTATCCGAGGGGTTATTGCGGAAATAACTTAGAGAGAAGTCAGAGCAAAATAGGAGGAGAGAGAGTCGATTTATTAAATGAACTCGAGATGTGGAGATGGATGTGGATCGTTTACAAGGAGAAATGAGTTGCTATTTATAGCAGCAATAAATGCGACGAGAATACACGTGTCAGTGATCCAACGGCCGAAGGGTCACATCAGCCGGGTGGCACCGGCAGTGGTACGTTCACCGCATTGAATGCGGTTGGCGGATGTGACGTGGCATTAAATGCGGTGGTTGGCTGTCTCCAAAAGGAATCTTCGATGATTGAGCGTGTTTGGCCGAAGGCTCCTCGTGTAGCCGAGGGCTTCATGTGACCAAGGACCCCTGTTTAGCCGAAGGCCCTGTGTGACCGAAGGCTTTGGTTCAGCCGAAGGCATCTCTGATGCCGAGGGCTTGGCAATGCCGAAGGCTCATGTTTTCCGCCGTTTTCTCCCAGTAGCTTCTTATGCCAGAGAAGGCTATCCTGTGAGTTTTGGAGCCTTCGGCCAAGGAGGCCGAAGGCACCCCAGTGTGTATTCCGGGCTACTTTGAGGCTTGAGCCGTTGTATTTGGGCCTGAGTTGTTTCCTGGGCTCAATGGACTTGTGTAGGAGAAGTAGGAGTCTATGGGCCGGGGGTTCCTGGGCCATATACTCCATCAGAAGTCATATTGGATTAATGAATTTAATGCACAAAAAGTTCTGGGTACACCAAACAAGTTGGTGAATTGGCATGAATATCCCCAATGGAAACCCCAAATAACTTTCATCTGCCTAAACCTTATGGGCTCAGTGTTTTCTTGCTTACCTGTTTAGAGTTTAGCTTGGCTATAGGAGATGCATGATGCACTATGAACGGTCAAGAAGAATTTCAGCAAAGAAAGCTGTGGAGCAAGTCGACAACAAGTCGATTCTGTAGGGGGAGGCAACATACCTGATTTCAAGCAACTCTTTGAGACATGAATTTCAGTTTTAGCCGTCAACGATCTTGTACTTTGCAGCGCCGTCTGCTCGACGGTTTTTTAGTTCAGACCACCTGCATTAACTCTTTTATACTATGTATGTAATGAAAAGAAGAAAAGTTACCCCTATTCAAAGGGGCATCAAGAAAGAACTGAAGTTCTGAAGGCTTGTGATTTGTGAAGTGAGCATATTTATCTGAAACATTTCCTTCTCCAATATTGAGTCTTACTTGCTGTACTTTTTGTTTCATCACTAGAGTTTGCTTAGTATAACTGAAGCAAGCTTCTCATCTCTGTTATATGTAATGTGCAAATGCTAACTTTGGCACCTAAAAATGCATTTGATCAACTCTGATGAAGACCACAACCACATATAAAATGTAGAGCATATAAATGAGTTAGACTGAAGCTAATCAATTGATCCTCTTTTTTGGTGCAGTTCAAAGCGATTCCATCTGTAGCTCCCGTGTTCGTATCTTTCCCCTCAGGATTCACCGATGAGAAGCGAGTGGATATTGTCTTCTTCCTCATAAACCTTATATAAGATCCATATCTTTCCAGTCATATGCAGTGGTAGCCTTGAATGTTAAGAGGAATAACATTGTGATGTTGTATTGGTTAGCTGATGCTTATATCACAAAGCTCAACATTTGTGAGCATGAAGTGATTTTTAGTCATCTCTTAAACCTCTCTTAAATATAAGTATATGACACATTAAATATTTAAAGTTTTGCCTGTAAGGAGGCTTCAAAAGAAGACCTTAAGTAAACTCCGTAAGAAGCAAAACGTAAATACTTCTCAAAACTCTTCAAGACTCGTTGCCGTGATAAAACGGAAACACGACCTTCAAGACATGGTACCTGTTTTTGTAAGCGCGTACATGATACGGGAGCGGAAGACCTAAGGAGACATACGACTGGAGTGAATGGCCTATGGAAGGATGAGGACTTGGGGGAGGGGGCGTTGCAAACTACTCCGGACACCAGGTTGTGAACTTAGGATGTTTTTGCTTGGACTGTTTTCAGTCTCAGACTTCCGTAGTTATAAAAATACACAGAGACTAAACGTTTACCAGACCAGTCTTAAACAGACCAGAACAGACTTAAACAGACCAGACCAGCAAATTACAGTCCAAGTAAAAATATCCTTACTGACGGCTATAATGTTCTTCCACGGTTCCACCCCTTCCTTGCTGATCGAATCCTTACTACATGCTTCTTTTTCTTTCTTCGTTTTTCTCTTTTCTTTTGCTGATAGAATATGCTGATAGTTCTTTCTACCTCATTTGATACTTCTTTTTCTTTTGTTTCGTGGCTGATAATTATTCCCTACTATGGCCTATGTGCTCCTTTGTTTCTTCCTCTTCCTTATTTTTTCGTTTACTTCGTACCGCAAAATATTTTTGTTTTGATTCCATTTTCCTTTCTTGTACTTCCCCATTTCCTATTTTGACAATTTTTTCCATATTATTCCATATATCAATATAACAAACAGAAGAATACGAAGAATACGGAGGGAGTATATCATTTGACCAATTCCAAAAAACTAATGAAATTACATTAAAACATCTATCATAAACTAATAATGTAGTGCATTTTTAAAATTGACTCATAAATATCAAATGTTCGTCAATTGAAAAAATCAAGTATGAATATTCATTCCTTCTTGATGAAATATTTAATTGTTTGTTGCACTTGTATAAAATGTTGACATGTATGATTTTTTTTTTGTATAATTGTTCTTGTATGGAGTTGTTTTACTAAAAAATCTTTTTTTGAAAACAGATAACTTAATCATTAATAGAACTGAGCACGAGATACAAAGTTGCCATAACGAAGGCTACACTGGGGTGAGACTCTGAGCTGGAATCGCGCATACAAGCAGACCATCTCGCTAACCCCGCAACGTGGTAGACTCCATACGCAACAATGTTGCACCTGCTACTAGAAGGGGAAATAAAAAACAAAGCAATGTACTGAACTGAATAAAAAACAGGAAAATAACATAATCCAGTTTGACCAGCCACTGGCAAGGGAGTAGCGGTTTGACCAGCCCCCGCTAAAGGAACAGCCTTCGAGTCCTCGTCCTTTGCCGCTACTGGCGGTGCTGTCCAGTCAGCACCGCCACCTCCAAGTTTTTTGAAGCCGCGTCATCAACATCCATAATCGCCTGTGTTCCCACACAGAAAACAGAAGTTCGGGAGTCTTTCAAATTTAAAATTTGCCCAAATCTTGCCTCACATTCCTGTCTAACCTGTAGGCGTCGGACTAAAGCCAAAGTAATGTTCAGAGTGACCCTTATGCGCATAACCAGTCGTTGTTTTCCTCCAGAAGAGCTTTCATCCATTTGCACAAATGAGCCTATGATGTTGGCTACGCCACGAGCTGCCTTTGTTGTCATGTAACTGAGTGGTAAATCATGTACCTGAACCCAAAAGTCTGCATGGTCAAGTGCAACCTCCAGGGGTTTGTCGGTGCGCTCTAGCCGTCTAATAACCACCAGGTTCTGTTGAAAGGACCAAGGCCCCTTATCCACAACACTGTTCAGATCTCCCTCATGATAAAACTGCAATAGGAATTTTGAGTCCTCAATTTCATCAATCGAGACCCCTTTCACTGGTCTCCATACCATAGCCATTGTTTGGCAGAAAGAAACAGCATAGACGGGTTTATCAGACACCACTCTAGCCACCGCCGCAAGATTGAATCCATCTGTATTCCCACCCCGTTCTCAATCGGGTGAGCCGCAATCACCATCGGGTGAGCCGCAATCACCAACCCCCTTGTTTTCTTCCTCGTCAATTGATAACATATTGACCTTCTTCGAAATCATGTCCATTGCAACACAAATCACATAACACCGAATACAAAACAAATAAGAAACCAATCGGAAAGAGCCACCCTCAAAACCAGCAGCCCTGCACTCGCAGCTACTGGAATTCCGCAGACTAAAAGAAACGAACAAAAAGACACAACAAGCTTTCTCGGCCAAATTGAGCCGGACGAACTCACGGAACAAACGCCCGGAAAACAAAATACCTTGGACAAAACGCCTAAAACGAACTTACCGAGACCTGGCCGCCAAACGATTATCGTCGTATCTCCTTCCTGATTCCGCGTTGATCATCAGCCAGTGGTTGCCCCTTGCACCGCCATGGTCATCGCTAGGTTTTTTTTAGAACATGTCATTTTTACTAAAAAATCTTATTCTACGCTTTTAATAATTTTATATGTTTTCTGTTATTTTTAAATTTAATATTCAAAGAACTAGTAGGTTGAATGTGATTTTTCAACGATCTTTTAAATTTATTTTTACGTTTAAAGACTCTCTAGGGTGGTTTGATGCCGCTAGGGTTTTTTCTCCGCTATCGATATTGTCGAGGAGCGGCCGTCTCCCTACGTAGTTTGGGTTTTTTGTTTCGCTGAGCTTCGCTCGTGCGGTTTGGATTCTTGTGGAACGAGAGCTTCGTGCGGTTTTCCTTTTGAGGTGCGGCTTGGATTTTTGTGGACAAAGAAACACAAGGAAACATGATAGAGTTTTCTTCTGCACTTCCGGCATGGATTTTAATGGCAAATCTCAAGGAGCAAGTTGGCAAGATCAAATTGACGAGTGCAAGAAGAATAGGGGTTGAGACGAATTTTTTAGGAGTTGAAATTCTCTTTTACCATGCTACAGCAGCTCGCCCTCATCCGGAACCACCTCCTTGCGAGGTAACAGTTTGAGGAAAGTTTTTTATTTTCGTATTATTTTTCCTTTTGCAGTACTTATTTTTTTCAGTTCGATCAGGTATGGTTGGGGTATTTTGATTTTTGAAGAACTTTTGATAGACAGTGTTTCATTTTCGGTCATTTTAGGCTTCTTCTTGCCCGTTTTGTGTCTAGCGAGTCAGGTTGCTTTGTATGGGTGGCTAACTCTTAGTATATTCATAGGGCTTATGATCGGATCTGTAATTGCTGTCTGGATTTTGTCTGGCATGTTTGCTCTATATTAATGAAAAGCCGTTTGGATGATAAAAAATGATCTTCTTATAATAAATCAATAAACATAACTAGTTTTATGTATTTGAAATTAATTTTATGTTATACTAAAATATTGATTGGCATATGATTGCCATGTTTTATTGATAAATATACTATTGTTTTTAGTGGCAAGTTTGTTGAATTCTTGATGATGGGGAGGGACATCATTGAAATCAAAGGTGAAGACATGACAAGTTACAGGAAGAAAATGATAACCGAGTTGATGATGTCTCGGGCGGAGCCATGATTTCTTAGTCCGGGGCCGGGCCAGAACAAAAACGTATAAATACATTAACATATTATATTATATTATATTAAAATTGATCGTTAATTTGAAATATTTGAGACCTTAAAATTGAAGGTCCCAACAAGAGTGCAATGGAAATTAACTGAAAGAACCTGGATATCGGAATCGGAGAAGTTGACTGCCGGGAAGCCTTTGAAACCCTTGACCTTGGCTTGGATTCTCTGTAAGTCGATGTCGAAGAAGAAAGCGGGCTGAGATTGCAGACGTTGCTCGGGGAAGGGCTCCCATACCATTGCTGCAAAGGTGGGCCGCGATGGGCCTGCCGCTATCTCGTGCCCCTCCGTCAGTGGCATCGGATTCCGAACAAGCGTCCGGAGGAGGAAGGTCGACAAAAACTAGAGAGAAGCCAAAGCGTCTTGCTCTTGACGCGTGAATTAAATTTTATTTGTGAGCCATAGTTGATTTTCACTTTTCAAAAGGTATTTATCATCCAAACGTGAGGGAGTCAGACACACACAATACAATTAGATACAATTATACCATTGTTTGACAACTTATTTAAAATAAAACTAGTAAGTATTGTTCATGGATTTAAAACTAATTTTCACTTTTCAAAAGGTATTTACGAGTTTTTCCCCGAACTAATACTGTTGGGTTAAAAAAAATTCCCAAAATACCGCTAGGTTAACCGTGGTTAAGAAAAGCCGCCACTTGAAGTGGTGGCTCTTCTCTTACAGTACAAAAGCCGCCACTTCAAGTGGCATCTCTTCTCTTACAGCACATTTTGTACATATATAAAATGCAGTATGTTTCAAGATTTTTTTTAACTATCTTCCCGATTGAATTTTGAGCTGAAATTTTGTATGAATAAACTAGACTTGATGAGGAACATGCTCAAAAACATTTCATCAAAAAATTCCTTTAGGAAGACCCTCTGATGGTGTTGTCTGCACGGGGTTCTGGTCAAGACGTCGTGACAGGAATAGGACATTTTTATGAAATTTGAGGTGCTTCCGAGTTGATTTTGTTGATGGCATTTGGTGATCATGTTCTTCCTAAAGTGTATATTATGTTCACCGAATTTCAGATTAAATTTAAATCAAGAAGTTAGTTAAATTATTTATTGAAAAAACATGCATTTTAAGGTCTAAAATATTGTGCAAATTTTCAAAAACTTGTTTAACTAACTTCCCAATTGAAAGGAACCAACTGCAGATTCAAGCTATCACCGCCATCATTATGCCCTTAACAAACAATTCTCTCTCTTCCACTTGCTAAATAAATATGAACTCTATTTGGGCAGTTTATGGAGAACAATTTTGTTCACCCTCATTTGAGAGGGTTATGTTCACCCCCACCCTTATTTGCCTGCCATGTGGCAAGACAATACTTTATAATTTGGCAATTGTTTTATCTTTTTCTTTTTTAATCAATTTATTTAAAAAAAATATATCAAAATTTTTTCTTTTTTTATGATCTTTCATATGGTACTAATATTGCATATAAAAAATAAAAAAAAATCAACTAAAAATAGATATTTGGAAATAAATGATTTTTTTTCAAATTTTTATATATACAAAATTGACACCATTGGAAAGATCATAAAAAACTAAAAAATCTGATATGTTTTTTTTTATATATAAAAAATAGACTACAAATAAAAAAGTTATAACATTTTAAAGAAAAAATGGGATAGAATGGCACATGGCAACCTTAGAGCAAAGGGGGTTATGTTCACCCTCCTTAGTGGGGGTGTACAAAATTGCACTCCAGTTTATGGCCATTGGAAACAGTTTCAACACTCGTATCAACTATTGCTCTAAGTTCCAATTGCAGAATCACAGTTTTGCCCAATTCACTTGAGCTCATGTTTGGAAGGCAACAGTAAATTCAAGTTCTGTAATCTAGAGAAGCATGTGTAATCCTACAACATACAAACTATTGATATAAATGCTCAAAGTAATGTAAAAATGGAAATGCATATCATATATAACACATGAATCTAAAACATGATGACTTATGGGCAAATTATCAACAAATATGAAACAATAAGAAATTATAAAATATTGCTTCCAGTAAATAACATACCAAACGATTTAGTTGCATAATTTCTAAAATTTTCTTGGCAAAATTTTTGTCCCGTGTAAAAATTCATGTAAAGTAGGTCTAAAAGTTGCAATTTTAGGCCTATTTCATTTGAGCTATTTCCGGGTCGAATTTGTTGATAAAATCTGGTGAGCATGTTCCCATGTAATGTAGATATGTCCACCAAATTTTAGATCGAAATTCAATTGGGAAGTTAGTTAAATAAATTTTTAAAAATTGCATAAATTTTTCGGCCTAAAAATGCAGTTTTTTTCAATAAATTATTTAACTAACTTCTTGATTTAATTTTAATTTGAAATTAGGTGGACATAACCTACACTTTAGGATGAACACGATCACCAAATTTTGTCAAAAAACTTGACTCGGAAGCCCCTCAAATTTCATAAAAATGTCTCATTCCTGTCGCGATGTCCTAACCGGAACCCCCGTGCGGACAACACCATCAGAGGGTCATTCTGGTAAAATTTTTCGATAATTTTTTTTGAGTATGTTCCTCATCAAGTCTAGTTTATTCATACTAAATTTCAGCTCAAAACTCAATCGGGAAGATAGTTAAAAAAAATCTTGAAACATACTGCGTTTTATATATGTACAAAATGTGCTGTAAGAGAAGAGCCGCCACTTGAAGTGGCGGCTTTTGTACTGTAAGAGAAGAGCCCGCCACTTCAAGTGACGGCTTTTCTTAACCACGGTTAACCCAACAGTATTTTTGGAATTATTTCTAACCTAACAGTATTTTGGGATTTATTTATTTAATTAACATTATTTCGGGAAAAACTCGGTATTTCCAAAGTAATTTTCACAAAAAAATAATTCATTAGAGAGTGAGAATTGATGAAGTCTTCAAATCACAGTTATATTAAATTGTGATATTATCTTTGAATATCACAAATTATAATACCGTGACTTCAAAAGTTCATAAATTCTAAATCACTAAGAGCCCGTTTGGAGAACTCTGTTTTCGGCTTATCAGGCTTATCAGCCAGCTTTTTCACCAAACACGTAACTTTTACTTTCGCGCGCTGAATTGTGTAATAAGCCGAAAAAGTAAGGTTGAAGTTACTTTTCTGGCTGTATTGGCTGAAGTTACTGTAGAGGACCATTTTAGCTATTTTTCCATATAACTTTTTCTTTAATTTATTAATAAAATATATTTTTAAAATATTTTTTTCTTAAATCAGCAGAATCAGCCAAAACAGCCACTCCAGCCAGAATATCATAAATTTCAGCAGAATCAACCAAAATAGCCGATTTTGGTACTACCAAACGGGCTCTAAAGCTAATTAGGAGTATATGTCTGATATTACTATTTCAATCATTAGAAGGTATTATAATCTGTTTCAAAAGCTTTTACGATTTCAATGTGGGAATAACAGGATAGCTACTACGGAATGTCGGCATAGGACAGAGGCCAGGATTTCAGTGACCAGTGAGGTCCAACAATGGATCTGCTACCAACCGAAGGCGCCTCTTTATAAATCTGCTCCATCACAGCAGAAATGGATTAATTGGTTGGAAGTTCATGAGCAGAAAAAATAGGTCCAAATCGGGATTCACTGTTCCTGCATCTTCAAGACGCCAAGCAATCAAACTCAGGAGTTGGGAGGAAGCACTGAGATTTGAAAGGTTGTGCAGGAAATGGTATTCGGACTAATTTAATTGTGACCCCGACCTAGGCAGAGCTCACCCCAACTTTTTCAATTCTGGCACTACGTGTTATTATATCTATGGAAGTTTTTTCATGGAACTTTTCCAATATTGGACTAATGAATTCAATGATGCACATAAATTGCGGGCGGGGTACACCAAACAGAGAAGTATGGCCAGGATTTAGCAAGTTGGTGAATTGG